CTAAGATACATCTTCAGGTCAAGATTGCATCAAAATAATTCAAAATTACGAGGGGGATGTGCAATTATGCTCCATAACTTTTCTGCAACATGTGGTATAGCAATGAGAATGGCGCCACACCAATCATTATAAATTTATCTTTTTATTGATACCAATAACATAACGATCCATTCACTTATTGGTTTTTCATGTAACATTTTCATGCTTTTTGCATCCAAAATACAATCGGTACTATGACTGGTGGATTCCCTCGACACCATTGGGACTGCGAAAGGCATGGACTTTTTCTTCTTGTTTAGCCAATGACGCAGATAAGTTGCACTTGTAATGCAACAATAATGAGGGGCCCAACTCTTGTCCTGATCCCCTGTTTTGCATCTGAAATATAGGTGGTATGCCTTTTTTTTTTACCACTGCCGTCATACCGCACTTTTGAGATACTAATATAATCTCGCCACAAATGTAGCAGAAGTTATCTGCGTTGTTTACACAGTTTCCAGGCATCTTAGCTTCTGAGAGAAAATAGCACACAACTGTTCCTTGGAAATGTCAGGCAATGACACTTTCACAAGCCACCAGATGTAACTGTATGATGCGTAGATCTGACCAAGACAAATGTATCTTGCAATAAAAAAAACAATAAATTACAGTTAGGCAATAATCTTTCATTTCAAAGTGAAGATAAATTTATACACTTCCATGTGGTACCATTTTCATTGTTCTACCGTACTTTGTCGAGAAGTTAGGAGCCATCATGATCATCAGATACCTTGTAGGCAAATATGCCTGTGTATACATCTTTGTTGTGACATATCTTGAAATCTCTAGCCAACCAGCACCTTTATCACCTGTTTTCTAATTCATCTAATCAAAATATGTAAGAATTAGCACATTCTATCTCAGAGGTTGATAATTTCCCAAAATTTGTAGACCAGTGTTATGTAAGCCCCTTGGAATTTTTTTTTTTTTAAACATGCAAGATCAGATTTAGGGCTCATTGGTGGGTTAAGCTTTGCCATTCCGGTTCAGAATCGCCTTTTGTGTCGGAATGTTAGCATGGCAGCGAGTGTAAACTGTATGTTACATGGATAACATGGAACAGTAATGTGATTAAGGAATCCGGAGGAAACAATTGTGTGAGTTAGGGCTTTGTGTGCATAATATGATGTAATACTGCCCTCCCACCAAAAATCCTGTAAGTACCAGCCATGTCAGGTAGGACACAGAACTAAAGCATATCTCCCTGACATGCTGGCTTTCTCTGTGCAAGGCATTTTTGCTTTTGTTAGTATTTCTTGCTGCAAGCAATCAAGAGAGAAAGAAATCAACATAGGAGGAAGGCAACCCGAGAAGTTTCTTGGATTTTAAGTTGAAAATTAGCAATCACAAAGACAGACAGAGCTGGAGGTGGAGGGGGCATGAGCTGGAGATGAAGGGAAAGGAAAGAGGGAACAAGCAGGAAAAGTGCATTGGTTTGAGGGCAAGCAAGCAGAGTGGTCTAAGCATTAAAAAAAATAAAAATGGTAAAAGAAGCTCCTGAGAAAAAGCCTAGAGCCTTAAAATACTGAGGTGTGGCCCCTACAACCCTATTGAAAAATATTATGCATGTGGAAATCCAGCAACCTATATCTTGGAGTGGGGAAGCTGGATGAGAATTAGTCTTCTAACATCCTAGCTTTTGGAGCACAAAGACTTCTTGAATACAAAGGCATTTTGATGACATCATTTTCTTCCTTCTGTCTGAAGTCCTGGGGCACAAATTTACTACCTCTTTTCTGAAATTGAACTGGAAGAGAGAGAAAGAGCTCCAAAGTTCCATTAAAATGTTTTGGGTTTTTTTTAAGTCTCTGGTGGGGGTGAATCCTAGTGTCACTGAGACAGAGCAAATGCAGAATGGATTGCTTTTTGTCCTGCCAGATCTTCTCTGGTATCATCCAGGGCAGCACTCAGCCAAGAGCAAGACTTTGAGGGCATTTCCCAGGAAACACAACAAAAGGTCACTGGTTGCAAAAAGAAGTCATGGGAACTGCAATGAGGGAAACTGTTTACCAAGCACTTCAGCATTGTGGGTGTGTAGTGGAGGAGAAATCACCGCAATGCTATAAATGTGTGTATTTTGTTTGAAAGGAAATTACAAGATGTTTGGCCAGGCACTTAAAGACACTTTCATTGATACTGGAACCACATGGATGAATTAATAAGATTAATAAAATAAAATCTAAATAGAATATATAAAAGGGTTAAATATCTCCCCATAAACACATTTTCCCCTAAAATATGTGATTTTGTACCCTCTTGTTCTAAAAAAATACATTTATATATGCAATATAATATCTTTGTGAACCATCAAGAAGCATAAAATTTAGGGAATTATGGAAGCAGAAGGATCCACATACTGGCTAAGGAGTGCAAATCAAGTCAGAGAAGTGGAATTTCGTGCATTCTCAGCTTTGTTGATGGAGGAAGGTAGTGGCCAAAGCAGATCTTCCTGGTCCATTTCTAGGGCAGAGTGCACTTTCCAACAGCAAAGCCCCATAATCCGTTTACTTAGGGATTCAGGATGGCCACTGTTTTTCTTTTGAGAATGGGTGTATTGCAAACAACTACAATAGTGATTTATCTCCTCTGATGAGGCCATATAAGCCATTTAATTTTATTGCACAGGGCAATGTGTTTGAACAAGATACAGGAATTGTTCCATGCTCAGTAGGATGTAACTTAAGCCATACTGTGTCATTGAGGACAAAACAGGAACAAGGAGATGTAAAAAATACAATGAACAATTTTGATTTAATCCCACCAGATGGGATGGGATTAAATCAAATGTTGTCTCAGTGTGGGCTGTGGGGATGAAACTACACTTGGGTTGATGAGCCACAGAGCAAACCAACTATTCTCTTTTAGTTTAGTTTAGTTTAGTCGCAAAGTCATGCCAGACCCATCAGGACCCCATGGACAACTTTCCTCCAGGCGTTCCTGTCCTCCACCATCCCTCGGAGTCCACCCAAACCCGCACTCACTGCCCCAGTGACTCCATCTAGCAACCTAACTATTCTCTTACCCCCGGCTAATTTCCTTGGGCTATTTACAAGCAAGACAAAGCTGTGATACAGCAGGATTCTCTAATGCTGCACCTTCCAGGTATTTTAGACTCTGATTCTCCCATGATCCTTGACCAATGACAAGCTGGCTGGGGCTGATGAGAACTGTAGACCATTCAAACCAGTAGGAAGCTATAGGTAAGAAATGGGCTAGTGATTTGGCACCATGAGTTCTGGAGATGCGTTTAGAGTTTCATTTAAGGAATTTAATATTTTAGTCAATGGAAAGGTTATAATACTCCTCAAGTTGTGGTTTGGCAAATACATCTAAAACGAACACATGCTCCTTCCTTCTGTAATTTATGTTTTTCCTTGGGGTAGTTGGAACCCAAAACATGTTTTTCTAGGAACATGAATATGCACCAAGTGTGGCAATATGCATAAAGAACACAATGAACACTTTAAATTATGGTCACAAACTCCTTCAAAAACCAGATTGGCATAAATCTGTCCCCCACAATCTTATCATATTTTAATTTCAAAAACTTGGCTGCTTTTAAGGGTGGAACCTCCTGTTCTTGTCATTCTTCTTTGCTTTGTCCTGTGTTTTTCTAGCCATTGTTATATAGCTTTTGCTGCATTTTTGCTTGTTTTTCATCCTTGTTCCTACACAGTGCATTATCTTAAGAACATTTCCTTGGATGTCACTCACAGAAGTTCTAATCAAGGACAGTTGTACTGCATAAATACTCAAAGAAGCTGGTTCAGGTGACTACAGTGTGGAGTAGGGGTTAAGAGTGCTGGACTGGGACCTTGGAGATCTTGGTTCTAGTCTCCACTCAGTCCTGAAACTCAGTGGGTGCCTTTGGGCCAGTCACTCCATCTCAGCCTAACCTACCCCATAGGGTTGTTGTTGTGAAGATAAATTGGAGAGGAGGAGAACTGGATAAGCCGCCTTGGGCTCCTTGCAAGAGGAAGAAAGGTGGGGTACAAATGCAATATAGTGACATCGGGGGCATTCTGCCCAGGAGCACCCCTTGCAGTGTTGCAGAAGATGTTGGGATACAACTCTTGGTATGTGTTGTGCAGATAAATGTGTTGGACTGACCCTGTGTACCCATATTGGTAATACAAGAGCTGCTAAGCCAACAACTGTCAGCAGATTTAATTATTTTTAAATTAGAAGAAGTAACTTGGAAGGGGACATGCTGCACATTGGTGGTCCAGTCTGGTACCATCTTTATTTCCCAGACTGCCTCTGTGCCTCACCTGTCTCTGTGCCTCATCAGATTGCACCCCCTCCTAAAAAGAAAAAAAGAAAAAAGGGCCCCCTGTGGGTACAAAAGAGTGGCTTTATGTCTTGGACTTTACTTTCTACCTCTGCTTTACCTATTTGCAGCGGGTGGGGAGTTTCCTTGCACCCTCATCAGTTTGCCTTCCAGGAAATGGATGTTTTGTGACTAGCTGTCTTAACCATGGGAGCTGTCCCATGAAAGGCCAGGCACCCGTGGCAGCCATTTTCTGAAAGTACCCATGACATTCTGTCAAAATTTAAGATGCCCACCAACCGAATAAAGCTGAGACTCCTCATGCGGGAGCTTTGCCTTTCCATTAGTGTTGACCTTAGAGGAGAGGAGAGGAGAGGAGAGGAGAGGAGAGGAGAGGAGATAATCATACAGTTGGAAGGGGCCTAGAAAGCCACTGGGTCCAACCTGCTGCTCAGTGCAGGACTCAAGTCTCCCATCCAAATAGCATCCAGGCCTGACCCCACCAGCTTCTAGGGTTATCAGGCACTTCAGGCTATTGTCATATGCGACAAATATATACGCTGCTGGCTGTTTGGGGCAGGAAATACCTACTGAATACAGTGTCCATTCTGTGTACAAGACCTGTGTGTGCATAGTGAGCAAATGCATGGGAGCCACCTGGTTTGTCCAGGCCCTTGAGCTAGTGGCACATTCTAACCACTGTTTTATTTCCCATAGTGCCAACCAACGCCCTGTGGCTCCAGGACACTGTGGAATGCTTAAGTGGCAGCTAGACACAACCACTGAACCAGATAAATGTTGTTTAAGTGGCCGGCCCAGCTTCAGTGGCTGAATGACTGAGGTTTTGGCAGGTGCTCGTGGGTGCCAGGTATTGATGTAATCCTAGTTAAATGTTTGCTGGGGATACTGTGATGAATTTGCCTCCACTCGGAGCATCTCTGAAATGTGATTTCTGTACGTAGCTGTTCATAGAGCAGCAATCAACTCATCACACTCAAGTGTCAAGTGTAATTGAAGGACTTGCAGCTTCTACCCAGCAATAGAGAGAAGCACAGATTATTTTTTCAGGAATCTGAAACTAGGTTCATCTGTCCATCTTTGCCTTTGAAACACCACACACTGTTTCCATGATAACAAATTATGGTAAGAGAACATCAAGCATACACAAAATAGAAGGTTGCTGTAATAAGCAAATCACATTTCAAAAACTTTCTAAGAAGTGTTTCAGAGCATGCCTTTCCTAAAAAGGAGAGTAAAAATGACTTACCCATGTGATATTTATTTGCTATTCCACAATGAGTGGAGTGGTCAAAGGATATTCTCAGCCTGAAATCTGTCCCTAATTTTTAAATGATTTTCAGCTGGGACTTGCAAGGCTTAACAAAGGAAGCTAGGCTTGGAGCTCTTTAGAATAAGCTATTGTTCTTATCCAAATTTCCTGCTATGACTTGGGAATAATATAGTTATTTCTTCAGTCAGCACATCTGCACAAGTTCCTTTGAGCTCCCCAAACAGGATAGTTGAATTTAGGTCACATCTGAGTTTTCTTACTTGAGAGAAAGGGCTGTAGCTCACTGGAAGAATACAAGCTTTGTGTGCAGAAGGTCCTTGGTTCAATTCCCAACCTCTCTTGAGAGCTAGAAAATGTCCGTCCTGAAATCCTGGAGATTCACTTCCTTGTTTTGACAAGACTGGGCTAGACTGACCTATTATCTGACCCAGTATCTACTCAGTTGACTTTGCTCTAGCTTGGGCTGAACTGCTTTGAACATCTTTCTGTATATACGTCATGAGCAGGAAACATGAAACATTCTTTCTTTACTATTTAACCAGCCACACTTCCTCCAAACTCACTTTCTGAAACATATGTTATTCCCCTTTTGAATTTAGGCTGTAAAAAATCCAGTCTTCTTTATTACTGGTCTCTCAGGTTAAAAACAGTAGGCTAAGATGTCAGAGGAAAAGTGCTATCAACAGGTACCGTGAATGTATTTGCTAAATTCAAGATTAAAATGAAATATTTTTATTTTGTTTCATGTAAGATAATATCTAATGAGAAAGTCTTTTCTAAAGGGAGATGTAGAGAACAATATATCTAGGGTGCAATACTATGCATGTTCAGATTTTTTTTGAAAAAATCCATATAATTCCCAGCATGGTTGGTTGGGGCATCCTGTGCATTGTATTTATTTATTTATAACTTTTGTACCCCATCCACCACTGACGTCTTGGGATGGCTTACAATAAGGTACAAATAAAATTACAAAACAAAACATGCATAGGATTGTAGTCCCTTTTTCCATGTGAAAGTGCATTGGGTTGCACCTCATGAAATCAAATTGTTAAGCAGCTTGTAATGCTGCCTGCTGCAAGAATTTTGCAAGATGCCCAAAGAAAAATGCTTAAACAGGTGTATAAAGACTTTTGGGACAAATATTTATATCAGTACAGCCTCAACTGGTTGCAGAACATGAGATGTGGCTGAATACACTTTGTGAAATCTTTCTGAATTGCCCTTGACTTAGCATACTTTCAGCCAGTCAATTCCTTTTGCTCTCTCTGCTCGGTTCGGCATGATCTGTCACTGGCTGATTGATGCTCAATTACTGGAGGCACAAAACAGGACCTCCTCCACTGTGGGACCCATGCACTGGAACGCTCTTCCTTAAAAGGTCCTTCTTCCTCCTGACTCCTTTTTTTGACTGTGGAGGACACTTGGAATTTGGTGGTTGTTGCTAGTTTTAGCAGGTGTCTTTGTCTGAACTGAAAACTCTGGCAAGAACCAGAATCGTTGCGGCATCCTGCTCGCCACTAGTTCAGACTGGACTTTTCCCAGCTCTCGTTGCAGATGACAGGGACTGAGCGTGGGGTGTCCACATGTCATGCTTGTGCTCTACCACTGAGTTATGGCCTTTTCCCAGTAAGATGTCCAGAAGAACTGAGCATGCTCAGTGGAAAAAGAATGCTGGCTGATTGTAGGGAGGGAAGCCAGAAAACCCGGAGCAAGGAGCAAATGGAGTATTGTAGAAGAGGCTGGCTGGCACCCCGAAACAAGCAGTGCTCATGGTGACATTTTGTTGCAAGTCCTGTGTGTAGTTCTTCTTTCAATCTTCTTACTTTTAGAAAATGTTACAGTTCTAATATTGGCAGTCTTTTCCCACACAAGAGACTGCATATGCATCAGCACTGTTTGTGTGGTCAGAGTTAACAAAAACATGATTTCAGTTCTTCATCGCCAGGTCTAGTCATTCTTGTCTGGAAAGACCCAGTCAATGCAAGCACTTAAGGTTATATGAAGGATGAGCTGCTAGAGGAAGGAAAAGGAAGAAATGAGAATTATCTTCATATTTTTATTGTTCTATGGTGAACCTGGTACCGCCAAGCACCATTTGTCTTAGGAACTTGCATGGCACATTATTTAGTAAGTTATTAACTCAGTGTAGTGACTATCTGCTTCCAATGGACTACAGCAAGATAATAGAGAACAATGCCTCCCTATTATCCACTTCCAGAAAGTGTCTTTCCTGATTGCCATTAGCAGCACACTATGCCCAAGAAAATGAGACCTAAGGAGGTCAAACAATTCAAGGTAGCTGTGTCCATTAAAAAGAAGGAGAAGGTCTTGAATTTTCCCATCGATCCCTCAAACCATTTTAGAAATACACGTCTACCTGTGTGTTCTATGTCTGTATGCATATGATTTCTGTAACATATTTTTAAGTTTTTCAGTCTTTGTAAACCATCCAGAGAGCTTGGCCATGGGGCAGTTTAGAAATCAATTAAATTAATTTTCTGATTTAGGCTGTGAATCAATCTAATTTTCAATGCTCAGGTATATTACAAACAGAGCAACATTCTCTCTTCCCTCCCCCAATTCTCTCTTTGTATATTGCCTTGTTGTGAGGAGCGGTTTTGTTATTTATATTATGTAAATTACCACCAATGTATTGCTACTGCTAATGAAAATAGGGGCTGCAAAATTAAAAATAGTGAATGAAGGGAGCAATCAGTCTGAAGTTCCCATTAAACCAATAGTCTGTTGGTTTGCTTTAATGGAAATATTTACATGTATAGTTAAAACTTGCTTTGCAGTAACTGTACTTTGGATGGATTTGAAACAAAGTAACACGACCAGTTTGTTCCTTCTTCATCTGGTCTGGTTAGGCTAGAGCATTTGAAAGCCTGAGCGTCGTATCCCTGCAATGTAGACTGACAGCACAAGCCTACACGTATTCCTTCAGAGGTGTCACTGTGTGCAGTGAACTTTTCTCCCACATAAGTGTGCCTACAGTTGTAACATGCAACTTGCCCACGTCTGTTTACCAGCCTTCAAGACAAAGTATCAAGAATTTGAACCCAGTTCTCCCTTTGCAGGTGCAGCTGGTGCAGTTCTCTGGTCCTGCCACAGCTCCATTTTCCTTGGGACAAAGCACAGCAACTTATTTTATCAGTTTGATTCTTTTCCCATTGAATTTGTTGTGAAGAAGATGGTCATTGATTTAATTATTTCTACATGTCCCTGTCTTTGTGAGAACCATGGTTTAGTGTATTCCATTCCAAAACCATTTGCATTTTTTTTCAATAACTACTGTGGCCAGCTATCTGGGGAAATGTACTGACAGTTGTTACACTCATTCCTTCAAACAAATATCAGCAAAATTCTTAGAAGTGTGGTTGGAAAATAAGCATCAATAGTAAGTGAGAAAATTACATGAGCCAAAGATTGCCAGAGCACAGCTAATTTCTGGCACATTTGCAAGTTTTTTTGATGTCTTATATTTTCTTCTCCAGGCTTCTTCATGGCTTGGAAGAGCTAATAAAGGAAATAAAGGAAACACACACACATATACTAGCAGGCTCTGTTCTCTGACTACCTGCCCTTGTGTAGCCAAATCAGCCCTGTCGGTGCACAAGAGGGAGTAACAGGAAGCTCAGGGAGACCCCAAAATTTGCAAAATATGTTTTAAAAGTCCCTAGAATCCCCCCACACCCACCCACCCAAAATCAGCCCAATAAGGACTGGAAACCCAACTGGCCCTGGAATGCTGGTCCTGGCAGACGTGTTGGATGGCAACTCCCATCCTTCTCAGCCAATATGCTGGCTGGAAATTATGGCAGCTGCAGTCTAGCAGATAAGGGGAGCCCTGCTGGATCTGGCCAGGAGTCCATCTAGCTCAGCATTCTGCTCAGCTGTGGCCACCCAGCTGCCCACAGGAGGTGCACACATCAGGCAGGTGCCCTGACACGTGATGCCTATAGGACTCTGCCATTGATACTGCTGGTGGAATGTAGCCACCACGCCCATTAGTCTCTCTTGGCAACATGAGGGGGACATATTTATTTCACTGATGGTTAGTATGAGGTGAGGTGGAAGAATGAGAGAGATAAGGAGAAAGCAGCTGCTGTTGGCAAGGAGGAAAGAAGTGGGAAGGAGAGGTCCACCTGGTCCCCAGAGAGGTCTGCCTGGCGCCGTTGTTATTTGTTTTTCGGTGCCAGGCCCAGACCTTTTTATTCAAACAGTATTTTAATGTTTAATATCTATAGATTTTAATTGTGCAGCCAGTGTGTTTCCGGGTTTTAATTGTAATAGTTATTATGCTGTATTTATTTATTTCTGTAAGCCGTCCTGAGGCTGTGTAGCAAGGGGACAGCATATAAAACCTGTAAATAAATAAATAATAAATAAGGAAAGCGAGTTTAGGAGAGTTGTGAGCACTGGAGAACCAAGGTGGGAGGTGAGAGAGAGAGAATCATACAGTTGGAGGAGACCACTGGGTCCAGCTGCCTGCTTAGTGTAGGAATCCAGTTTAAAGGACTCTTGGCAGCTGAATGTCTGGGCTCTGCTTGAATACTTCCAGTGATGGAGAG